CCAGGTCCAGATAAACAATTTTATTTTGCACTGTTCTTCAAAAGAGTCAAGTCATATATGATGGGTAGCTCATATTTGTAACTTCAACACTTGGGAGGCTGAGAAGGAGAATTTCTATGAGTTCTGGACTAATCTGGGCTACCAAGTGAAACACTGTCTCCCAACCCTCCCGCCAAAATAGCCAAGCAAAGTCCATGAAGATTCAATGAGTAACCGCCATTTAACTTATGCTCTTCCTAAAGTGAGATGCAAATCTCCTATAAGGAGGATAGATGATAGAATTTGGAATTTGGATATCACATTTTACACACCTGTTTTGCCTAACTTCTAACAGATTCACAATTTCCTTCAGTGTTAGGAACATGAGCCACAACAGTAATAGCACATGGAGTAGAAAAATAGACTCTGGCACCAACAGATATCATTCCATATGATGTTATAATTATTATTACTACAACCAACTTGAAATACTGTTTAAACCCATAACTATTTTTAAATTATAGCAATAAGACCCATAGACAAACATTTACTATAATAATAAAAGGGACTTATTGGAGCTGGAGAGGTGGCTCAGCTTTTAAGATCATGTACCCCTCTTATAAAGGACCTAAGCTTGGGTTTCTAGCACTCAGTTTGGCAGCTCACAACCACTTCTAAACCGGGCTCCAGGGGACCTGACACCCTCTTTTGGCTATGGGCACAGCGCTCACTTGCCTATAGCCCCACACAGATACACAGATAAACATAATTTTTAAAAATAAAAATAGGAGTTTGAGAGATGGCTCAGCAGTTAAGAGCATTGGCTGTTGTTCCAGAGGACTTGGGTTCAATTCCTAATGCCCACATGGCAGCTCACAACCATCTGCAATTCTCATTCCAGGAGCTCCAATGTTCTTTTCTAGGACTTCAGACACACATCTGGTGCCCAAACACATATGCAGGAAAAATACCCATACATATACAGTCAATTTTTTTTTAAAAAAAATTAATAAATAAGGGGGCTAGAAAGATGGTTCAGAGGTTAGGAGCACTGGCTACTCTTCTAGAGCTCCTAAGTTCAATTCCCAGCAACCACATGGTGGCTCACAACCATCCATAATGAGATCTGATACCCTCTTCTGATGTGCAAGCATACATGCAGACAGAACACTGTATACACAATAAATAAATATTTTAATTAATAAAAATAAATCCTTTTTAAAACACATAACCGCTGTAGTACACATTTTAAAATATTTTATTAAATGTACTGAAACATAACAATTCTTTTATAATTTTATGTTATTTTAATTTTGTGTAAGAAAATTATTCTGCTGGGATGATGCAGGCTTTTAATGCCAGCATTTAGGAGGTAGGGGTAGGTGGATCTCTGTGACTTCAAGGTCAGCCTGGTCTACATAGTGACAGCTATACACTGAGACTTAGTTTCAAAAAAAGAAAATTACTCTAAACTTGGTGCTGTGGGTACTAATAACTTTAAAAAAATGTTTACAACAGAGTTAACCAGAGACAGAGAGAGGGATCCCCTGCTATAACCTACCTACAAATTGTTTTTCAAAGTATATAATGCATATAATTCTATTACTTAGGAAATCTAAATCCAGATTAAAATAAGTATAAGAAGTATTTCTTCCCATAATCAGAGCCTGTATCCTAGGAACATTCTTTCATTCTTCTTCTTTTATAATCTATCTGTCTATCTATTTTTTACTTATTTATTTATTTATTTTGAGACAGGGTTTCTCTGTATTGCTTTGGGACCTGTCCTGAGACTCCCTCTGTAGACCAGGCTGGCCTAGAACTCACAGAGATCCTCCTGCCTTTGCCTCCTGAGTGCTGGGATTAAAGGCTTGTGCCACCACCGCTCAGCTGAGACCATTCTTCTTAAAAGGGTAGGTCCTCATATCAAACAGCAATGGTGACTCACGCCTCTTCTGCAATCAATGATGTTGAAGCATATTCTCTTCTAGAAAATTCTAGGACCTTCTACTTATGTAGAATAAAAGTACACATGCATTAATCCATAAAACAGTGTAACTAGTCAAGCACAGAATATTTCCCCAAACTCCAAGTGATACCCTAATAAGAACCTTTCTGACTCTACACTGCAAACTGTACAGTGATTAAGAATATCTATTAGGTAGGTAACCACATTAATACAGTGTGTGGTTGAGTTAAAATGTAGCCCAGGCTAACCTGGGATCCACCATCCTCCTGTCTCAACTTCCCAAGTGATGGGATTATACACATCCACAGTTGGCTTTCAAATCCCTGTTGGATTGTTGTTTTGTTTTGAGACTGGCTGCCTCTCCTGACAAGCTGGAGCTTGCTATGTAGACCAGGCTAGCCTCAAACTCAGACATCTTCCTAAAAGTGTGTGCCACCATGCCTGGCTAGATCTTTTCTTTTTAAAACACTGGGTGACACAATCAGAAGAAATCTTCTACAAAGGGCTATAAGAAAGGAAAAAGTTGCTGGGCATTAGAGGTGCCTGCCTTTAATCCCAGCACTCAGGAGGCAGAGGCAGGAGGATCTCTGTAAGTTCGATGCCAGCCTGGTCTATAGAGCTAGTTCCAAGACAGGCTCCAAAGCCACAGAGAAATCCTATCTCAAAAAAAAAAAAAAAAAAAAAAAAAAAAAAGGAGGAGGAGGAGAAGGGGAAAAGAAGTAAAGATGGGTATAGCGGCACACCCTTGTAATGCCAGCACTCCGAAGGCTAAGGCAGGAGAGCTGGTATACATATATTTATTTATTTTAGGATCTCACTTTGTAGTCCTGGCTGGCCAGGAACTTGATAATGTAGACCAGGATGGTCTTGAACTCATAGAGATCCAACTGCCTCTGCCTTCCAAGTACTGAGACTAAAGACATGGGCCACCACACCTCAGACTGTCAAGAATTTAATGCCAACCTGTGCTACATAGTAAGTTCCAAGCCAGCCAGGACTACGAAGAGATCCTATCTCAAAATAGATTAGGAGAGACAGACCATACTCATTTCAGTTCATTTCAACTGATTACTAATAGCCCTCATAAAAGAGAGTGATTGAGAAATAAAAGCACAAGCTAAAACTTTAACTGAATTACTCACAATGTGGTATCATTCCCAGGTGTCAGGCTTACCATAAATTTAGAGATGAATGCATCAAAACCCTTCCATGACTGCTGACACTTCAAGCATTATTCTGTCCTTGTCTCCCATGACAGTTGCCATATAGTACTATATTATTTATTTATTTACCATTGTACAGGGGGAAATATTCTTTTTATTTTTCATATATTACCATGATTCCCTATGTGTGTGCTTGCTCATGCATGCATGTCATGATGCATGTTCAGAGGTACAACTGGTTCTCTCCTTCCATCTTTACGTGGGTTCCAGAGGTTAAACTCAGAAAGACGGGCTTGAATCAGGTAAAGCACCTTTAATGGCTAAGCCATCTCCCTGGACCCCAGCCCAGATCCTATATTTAATTTTTCTTTAAAACCAGATTTTACTGCTTTGTAAACCCACAGGTGCTGGAATTACAGATGTGTGCCAGCCACCATGTCCAGTCCCAATATTTTTATTCTTGTTTCTTAATACAGAGTACCTCTATGTAGTCCTGGTCCTTGACAGTAGTTCAGACTGCCTTTGAACTCACAGAGGCCCTCCTGCCTGTACCTACTATGCACTGGAATTAAAGACATTTGCCACCATACCTGGCCCAATGCCTCTTATTAGCAATTCTATTTATTAGTAAACTCTCTAAACTTCAAGATTGAATACAATGTGAAGATCATATATCTCCCTGCTTCTATTTTATTCTTAGTATACTTTTGTGTTTTCAGTTCCCTCCTCAAGCTTGGTTCCTAGCTTCAAAGTTTCTCCTTCCTCGATAACTACTCCAAGCAGTTTCTCCTACCACAAACTCCTACATGTTCACTCCCTCTATAACTATCACTATTCCAATATAGTGTTAGGCTCTCCCAAAGACTCTGAGTTTTAGTCCTCAGGCAAAAGTAGTCACCTCAATTACATCCAAAAAGCCTTCTTTAGTTAAGCCCATTTGTTGGAACATGTGCCCAGCACAGGTCCCAGTTCCTAACTCATCTTTGTACTTACTTCCCTGCTGCTCCTCAATCATAGAATCATCACAGAAAGAAAAAAAAGTTCACAAATAATCCACTCCACTGTTTCTCAAAAAAACAAAAACAAAGACAAAACACAAAAAGCTTGACACAGTGGCATTTGCCTTTAATCCCAGCATTAGGAAGGCAGAGACCAGATGTCTTGAGAGGTCAAGGCCACCCTGGTATGGATAGTAAGTTCCAGAACAGCCAAGGTTACACAAAGAAACCCTGTCTCAAGGGAGGGGAAGGGGGGAGCTGGTATCCCTGAACCCACCAGGCTGTATTACAACTCAAAATAGCCCTGCCTCAGCCACAGGATTATAGCTGTGGGTCACCACACCCATTTTTCAAACTTTAGCTACATTTTACTGCATACATTGTAAGATGTACAAAACTAACTTTACATCTTCACTGCAAACACACATACCTGAAACCCATTTCATAAGTCAACAGTGAGAATTTCTATTCTAGTACAGTTGTCTTTTTTTTTTTTTTTCAGTTGCCACGCATTAAACTGTCATTACAACGCTACAGTACACTGGGACGCAAGGTTGGGAGACATTAATCCCAACCCGGACTTCCCTTTCACTGATGAAGAAAGCTGTAACTCAGTGGTGGATTAAGTTTCTCGCCCACAGAACTTTGTCCGTAAAGTTCAAACTCTTGTCTGATAAATCTCACGCCAGTGTGGTTTCTGCTTAAGACCTCTGCCTAGTCACTCACTCACTCCCACTCTGCACACAGCACAACGTCAGAGCACCAAGCCCAATTCTGATCTAATTCTTCCCCGCCAGCCCTCAAAGCCACTGCTTGCTGGCTGGTGAGCGTGCCCTCGCAGCCGCTGCTTCATGATCCCTGGGGTCAGTCCCTCAGTCACCGCGTACTTACTCGGTCATGGTCCCGTCGCAGCCTCTGCCTCGTGCTCTCCGAGGTCAGAGTCCCTCGCATTTACTGCTCCGGGGTCGCAGACCCCTCACAAGCAGCCACCGCTGGGTCACAGTCGTCCTGGCTGTCATTGTAACTCGGTCACAGTAGCCTCGCAGCCCCGGCTTCACACCTCCCTGGCTGTCACTGACCTGCTCTTCAGGCACAGCCCCCTCACGGTCCCAGCCGGCGTTTGTCCACGCAAGCAAACACTACCCGGGGTTCCTTACCGCAGCTCTCCCAGGCTCCGCTGCCGTCCGATTCCTTCCTCGCGCCGCGTCACCGACTAGCGAAGTCAAATAGGTTGCGGGGAGACGCCCGGGAAACATCTGACCGGACTGCGGACCGGAAGTCCCGCCTACTGCCCGCCCTCTTGTCAATCCCACCGCTACATCCCTGAAAACTACAACCTGACATAGTAGTTCCGCTTCCAGCAGGGCCGGGCGGGTGGAGTGACAGAGCACCGCAGCCAGGCACGGGGCCAACAGTCCCGGAATACCGGATGTGTGGCGCCTCCTGCCGGCGGGGACTCGCTCGGCCTGTGGTCTCCCAGCGTCCCTTGCGCCCGCCGCCCCTCACACTCGATCACACGAGCGGCCCCGACACCCAACCTCACCAAAGAATTCGAGCCCGCTAGCTAGCCACGTTCGGTTCCGCTCAGGTCTGAGCTCACCTCTTCCGGTTATTTTGACCTAGGTTGATCCACCAAAAAAATCCCTACGAATCGACTGCGGAAGTCGTTGAGCCAGAGTACAGGCGTGGGCACTGGTACAAAAATGCACGGATCAGGGTGTGCAGTCTAAGAGAACGAACTTGCTACGGTGAACTTTTGTTTTGTAAAGGTTTAAGATTTGTGCGGGTCCACGGAGGCCATACACAAAGCCACAGAGGAGCTGGAGTGACACCTGGATGGGTGCTGGGACCTAAACTCTAGTCCTCTGCTAGAGCTTTAAGTGTTCTTAACTCTTAGCCATGGAGCCGTCTCTCCATCCCCTCTGTGCTGCCGGGTGGTGGTGGACTTTTTGTTTGGGGATTAAAAATAACTTTATTACAGGGTCTTAACACTATTTCCAGACTGGCCTGCAACTTACTCTTGGCTTTGAACTTGCAGTGGTCCTGCTGCCTCAGCCTCCGGAATGCAGGCATTAGCCACCACACCCAGCTCGATTTTGTAGATGTAAGGCAAGTGGGCACATAAAGTTACAGAAGAAAAATGGGGGAAGAAATTTAATGCATTTGTTTGCATTTTTTACTTGAAGATAGCCAAAAAGAAAGAAGATGGGTAAATTCTGCTGAGGTGCTTTCAAAGAGAAAAAATGATTAAAATCTCACAGGCACACACCTTTAAGTTCAAGTAGGTGTTTGGACATGACAGATAAAATGACCCAAATAAGGACAACTAGTTGGAAGAGACACCAAAGGCCTCTATGTGGGAAAATGGTCATCACAAAAATAGATTGTAACCAACACAGAAGTCTCCAAATTTTAAGGGGTTCTACTTTATATACAACTTGAAGCTTCTCAGACCCTGACACTAAACAAATGTAGTAAGAGCCCAGACAGCATAATAAAAGCAAACTACTAAATATATAAATCTAAAACAACAGATTTTAGGTGCCAAAGTACCAACTTATTTTTATTTGGTCAGGATATTTAGCAATATAAAAATGTCGAGGTTTCTTCATAATCACAGTCACTCTTTCCAAAGATTCAATAGTAGAAACAACCAAACGCTGCTACAACACAGAATAAGCTGTCCTATAAATAAATAAATAAATAAATAAATAAATAAATCAGTAAGAACATAGAAATCCAGGATATTAGTGCTAATGAGAAAGCAGGTCAACACAGGCAATTGAAATTAAGACTATACCAGTGTTATATACTAGTATAAATAAACTAGACCTTCAATAATTTTCTTTTTGACTTTTTCTTCTGTTTCCAAAAAAAACTCCATACATAATTCAAAAGGCTTCAACATAGACAATCAAACTTGAAATGATCTTCCTGCCTCAGCCTCCCAAGTGTAGGGAATCACAGATGTGGCCCTCCATACCCTCCTTTTTATCAATTTTCAATTATGAAGATTTCTTCCTTCAAGAAGCAGAAGGTTTCCAAGAGCAGCTATAAAGTTGTTTTCCTGAGGATGCCTGTAAGACTGCTTACTAAAAGGTGCCCAGTAGGGTAGGAGGGGAGTTGGGAGAGTGGATAATTGAAGCAGTCCATTTGCATGTATGGAAATGTCAATGAAACCCATTATGTATAATTAACATTCAGTAATCTAATATTTGATGTTGAGGAAGGAGGATAGAGTGGGAGTTCAGCCTCTTTAATTACTCATATAATTAATTATATATGTTTATACACACATACATATATATGTATATAATTAATTACATAATTATATGGTGTGGTGATGCATGCCTTTAATGTCTGCTCTCAGTATACAGAGGCAGGATCTGAGCTTGAGGCCAGCTTGATCTACATAAAAAGTTCCAGGCTAGCCAGGGTTATATAGTGAGACTCTTGTCTCAAAAAAACAAAACTAAAACAACCTGGACTGGAGCAATGGCTCAGTGGTAAAGAACCTCTGCTTCTCTTGCAGAGGACCTAGGTGGTTCCCTGAACCCACATCACATGGCTCATTGGGATCAATCTGATACTCTCTTCTGATCTCTGGGGACCCTGCACTCACATGAACACACAACACACACAAACATTTATATATACTTATAAATATATAATATATATATATATTATATATGTTAAAAACAATGAGGTAAGGGGACTGGAGAGGTGGCTCAGCAGTTAAGAGCACTTCACTGCTCTTCCAGAGGACCTGAGTTCAATTCCCAGCACCCACATGGTGAATCACAACCAGCTGTAATGGGATCTGGTGTCTTCTGGTGTGCATGAAAACAGAGCACTCATAAACATATGATACACCAATAAATATTTTTTTTAAAAATGACATAAAATAAAAAGTGAGGTAAAATAACAGGAAGACAGAAAAAGAATCAGATTTTTTAAATATATGAATGAAATTTTGGGTAATGCATATTTACGAAATAATTATTCTATATTCCCTTACTTAACACAGAAATAATTATCAAATGCTTTGAGGTTGTTGGAGTAAGTGCATTACTCCGAGCAAGTAATATACTATCATTGACAGTAACAGCATATTACCATACAGTCTGGATAGGGAAAGACAGCTTCACACATGCTAGGCAAGATCTCACTACATCACCCAGCCAAGTCTTAAATTCACTCTTTGCTAAGAGGATCTTCAAGTGGAGACCTCTTGCTTTAGCCTCTTGTGCACCTACAATTAGAGACCTGTATCACCAGGCAGAGCTTTATTTGTTCATCTTTTAGCTTACAAATCACCAAAGCTAAACTAAACTTTAATTGCAGAGCTCAACTGAACTTGTTAGTAAAAATCTACCTGTCTTAGCAACCAAAGGCTGTCATACCAAACTTACTCCAGCCTAGTAGCAGGGAGGAAAACAAGCTGAACTCAAGCACCTAACTATGAGCCAGAAGCCAGCCCTTTGGTGGGCAGCACTCCATTTCTGTGGCTGGGTTTGTGTGTTCTAACAACAGCATATCTGTGGAAGAAGACTGGGTTTTGTTTTTTTGGTTTTGTTTGTTTGTTTTTTGCATGTATCCATAGAATGACACTTTGGTTTTGTTTGTGGGGATTTACAGGGGTGGTTTTGGGAGCGGTGAGATAGGGTCTCATGTAATCAAAACCTCCACTTCTCAGGTGCTAAGATCAGAGCCATGCACCACCACATCCACTCTGATGCTTTTGTAAACCCTGGCAACTAGGGACACATGGGAAACTTTTACAGACTAAGTCACTGATCCAAATGTCAGCTTACTGACCAGAGTCTACTTGCAAAGCTCCCTGACATCTATATTTTTAATTAAGTTCCCTCTGTACTGGGAAACCATACCCATCTTTGGAAAACCTAGTTTCTAATATTTATAATGTAAACTCAGGATAATTCAGTAGTTTCCTTAAAGTCAATCAAACTGACTCAGCTGGAAATGGAACCCCCTTCCTAGTTTACTCAGTTCAATTTCTGTTCTGCTGTACTAACTACAACTCTACTAATTACAACCTGAAGGACTTTAGTTGGGGTGACTTCTGGAAGCAAGTATCAAAGTAAGTTACCTGAAATACATGTACCAATAACTTACCGATGCTCAAATGAAACAGTTTTGTGTTTTTGGTATCTTGTGTGTGGTTTCTTTAATGATTTTTTTTTTTTTTTTTTTGAGACAGGGTTCTCTTGTAGCCCAGGATAGCCAAGGGTGACTTTGAAGTCCTGATCCTTCTGCCTATACCCACCAAGTGCTGGGAACACTGACGTACACCACTATGTCCAGTCCAGTTCAGTGAAATTGATAGGGGAAAGAAAGGTTAGACGGGGTACTTTCATATTCTGTATTATAAAATTCATTTGTACTTAATATTGTAGAAAGCAATCTGCATATATGTACTAGTAGAATACATCATTAATTGGTTTTTGTTTGTTTGTATTTTTGAGACAGAGTCTCTCATGTATCCCAGGCTATCCTGGAATTAAATTGTAGATCAGTCTGGCCTTGAACTCACAAAACTCTGCCTTCATCTGCCTTCTGAGTGCTATGAGTAAAGGCTTGCACTATGATGCCCAGTTAATTGGTATTTGTATTTTATTCATTTTTATTTTATATGCATTGGTGGTTTTGTCTCAATGTCTGCACGAGGGTCAGATCCCCTGGAACTGGAGTCATAAACAGTTATGAGCCGCCATGTGGGTGCTGGGAATCAAACCTGGGTCCTCTGGAAGAGCAGTCAGTGCTCTTAATCAGTGAGCCATCTCTCCAGCCCTAATTGCTCTTTTCAAAAAAATATTATCTCTTATTTTACCTGTTTGGGTGTTTTGTCTGCACTTATGTCTGTGTACAACATGTGTGCAATGCCTGTTGAAGCCAGAAGAGAGGGGCTAGAGCTACAGACAGTCCAGAGCTGCTATATGAGGACTGGGAACTGAACCTGGGTCATTTATAAGAGCAGCCAATGTTCTTAACTGCTGAGACATATCTCCAGCTCCTAACTGTTTGTTCTGAGTTAACTCTACCCACATCCCAGATGCCCCTGGAGAACTACAAGATTAATATAGAAACGACTGTCACTCAGTATTTGGAGTTCCTGAGCCCATATATCAACTGATTGAAGTAAGCATGTGAGGGATGCTAATGAGAGACATACAGTTATCACAGGCCTCCAAATCATGGCTGAGCACTTGACTAGAGGGGTAGGACTGAACTACTGAATGACTCTTTGTCTCCTACTCAGCCCTGCTTTTCCTTGTTATCAACTGCTGCCTGATGAGGAGATGCAAACACACTTTTAAGGATATCAATCTACTATCATCTCAGATTGCCAGCTCTCTGAATAAAGCACAGAGATTCAACCTGTCTGTTCATAGACCTGTGAGCAGACAGGCAGAAGGAACTCTGGTTTTCCAATTTTTCTTTTTCACAGTTTCTTTTATTTCTCCTTAGTTTTGAGACGTGGCTTTGAGATAAAGTAGCTAATTTTATTATTGAAAGAAAAATCATCTTTGCTTATAAAATCTTCATCTAAGTTCTTTTGTAGCTCAGTGAAGTGTGGTATGTTCAAATGAACAGATATTTTTAAACTAAGTTAATTTCTACTCTCATAAGGTTGTCAGAACTGGATTTTTGGAACACAGTCATTTATATGTGGGTGGCAGGTAAGGGGTGGGGGTAGTTTGAAAGAAAATGGCCCTCAAAGGGAGTAGCACTATAGGTGTGGCCTTGCTGGAGGAAGTATGTCACTGTGGGGACAGGTTCTGAGGTCTCTTTTTGCTCAAGTCTGGCTCAGTGTGACAAAGAGTAAACTGCCTGTTGCCTGTAAGATGTAGGCCTCTCAGCTCCAGCACCAAGTCTGCCAGCACACCACCATGCTCCCAGCCATGATGATAATGCACTGAGCCTCTAAACTGTAAGCCAGCCCCTCCAATTATTTCCTTTAGGAGAGTTGCTGTGGTCGTGGTATATCTTCATAGCCATAGAAACACTAAGATGGAGGGGGGTTGTGAAGGTTACTTTTCATTGTCACACCATCATGTGTGCATGTGTAACATTATTTTATTAGAAGCCACTTTATTTATAATTTCCCTGTTTTAAGCAGAAATGTCTATGAATTCTGCTTGTGTGTTCTGTACAAATAAAATAATAAAACTTAAAATAAAACCACTGATACCAGGTGGTGATAACACACACTTTAATCCCAGCACTAGGGAGGCAGAGGCAGGTGGATCCCTGAGTTCAAGGCAAGCCTGGTCTGCAGTTCAGGATAGACAGGGCTACACAGAGAACTCCTATCTTAAAAAAAAAGTTTCAGTAAAAGCACCTTATCCAGAAATCTGAGAAATGTGTCTCAAAAATACTACTGTATCCTCACTTTTAGCAGTAATCTGATATACACTGGCCATATCTCCCCAGACATGAAAAAGGAGTTTCCCAAAGACTTACGTTCATGAAGACATCATGAGTGTAGTTGTCAGTGTCTGCATCCCAGAAACATCGAGCACCCATGCTAAAATGCCAATCAAGAATGGTCAGTAATGTACATCTGAACTATAAGCTGCCATGGTCAAGTTCATTCCCTACAACTTCACAGGTCCCTGCTCTACACCTGTCCACGGCACATGGAGAGAAATGTATTTGTAAAGCAAAGTATGCTGGACAACCAGCTAGAGGTGAGGCAGCCAGAGCCTCTAGCCACCTTAGCAACCCAACTGTTGCCTGACAACCACAGGATCAATCTCTCCACGCCTCTGGTACTTAGAGTGGCCTTTCACTATAGATTACCTCAGTTAGGACACTTGTGATTGACTTTCAGTGGGCTCAATTCCTACAGAATAATAGGAAAAGAAGTCTTACAAAGGACCCAACATAATACTTTATCCAGCCTGGTCATTTTAGAGACCTATACAAGAAAGGGACAACTGAGCTAAGATTCAGTCTTCTAACTAGACCAGCATTAGGAGGTTCATACCTGTAAAACCAACATTGGGGAAGCTGTGGAAAGTTACTACTGGAAAGATCAGGGCAGCAGAGTGAGACCCTGTTTCTAAAACAAACAATAGCCAAGTAGTTTTGCAAGTCTGTAATCCCAACACCTGGGGACTGGAATCAGGAGATGTGGAGCTCAAGGTCATCCTCAGTCACAAAATGAGCTTGAGGGCAGCCTGGGCTACAGTGAAACCCTGTCTCAGAAAAACAAAAACAAAAACAAAAACAAAAAACCTAGAATTTGAAAATACCTTTAGGGACTACAGGAATATATGTGTGTGTGTATGTGTGTTTCTCTATAGCTTTTGAGCCTGTCCTGGAAATCATTCTGTAGACCAGGCTGGCCTCAAATTCACAGAGATTCCTCCTGCCTCTGCCTCCTAGTGAATGGAAAGAAGGAACTTGTGCACCATGGCAAAAAATGGAGGTCAAAGGGCAACTACTAAGAGTTGCTTCTCTCCTTCCTCTAAGTTGAGTCCAAATATTAAACTTGGGTTGTCAGGCTTGGCGGCCAGTGCCTTAACTGAAGAGCCATCTCTTTAGCATCCCAGGACTTTTTGGAGCTTGTCCTGACGACATCTAACAAAGTCAACCCAAATCAGTAGAGGTTTCAAATACAAAACACAGTTCTGAAGACAGTTCTAATTTGTGGAGGTTATAGTGAGGTGGAAATCACTTACTCCCTATATAAGATCCTAAGTCCAACATCCCCACCCCACAGACTACAAACTAGATAATGTAGATTGTCATGATGTGAGAGTCAGGCCCCGCTGACAAGGGGCTGCTAAGTGGCACAACCACGTACAGAACATGCCACAAGAGTGTCATGACTAAATAAGAGATGACCCTAAGGCTGTGAACCTTGGAACCCAGCAAGACTGAACCTCCAGTGCACAGCTGCATCTGGTAAGCCATCCTTCTCATTCTTACAAAGACTTACCGAATTATCTACCCACCCAATGGATGACTCCCAAGGACATAGAAATGACAGGAAAAGCTGACTACTCACAATACTCCTTCACCCCGCTGTTCTCCAGTCACTACTTGTACCACCATTTTATACCGGTCATATCCCAATTCTAGAAAAGAAAAGAAAATTATCTCTAGTCAAGTATGTAGTAAGTGACCGACCAAACACAGATTCTTCCAGAATGGATGTAAACACTCAGTCCATGGGTATTTAAGGAGTATGAGAGTAGAGTTAGGGGTGTGAGACCTAGAGATAAACACTAACTATAAAGTTACTGCACAGTAAACCCTTAGAGCCTAGCTTTCCCTTTAAGTTTCTAGTCTGTTAAAAGAGAATGCTCTCATTTGGTAGACTGTGAAGTTAGATAAAGTATAATAATACACAAGGCTTTTAGCCTAGTACTTGGTACACAGGGGTCTTCAGTGAACCTTGGCCCCTGTCTAAGATCACCCTTCAAGTTACAGAAATAAGAAACCAATCTGCTTGCCTCAGGGACCAGAGAGCTCATAACAGAACTAAAAAGCAAACAAACAAGCAAAAAGAAATTATTTCAGGAGTGGCATGCACAAGGTGTATCAGAGTTGGGAGTTCTTCCAAGTATGCGGGAGGGGGGATGCAGGATCAGAAAAGACTTCACAGAGAATGTTCTAGAGAGTGAGAATTTACCAGGTAAAGAGACTTTCTATGGAGAAGGAATAACAAACACAAAAGCATGAGGATAGGACTGGAGAGGTGGCTCAGAGGTACAGAGTGTTTGCTGCTCCTGCAGAGGACCTGAGTTCGAGTGTCAATAGTTCACAACCACCTCTATCTTCAACTCCAGAGAATCTGATGGGCACCTGCATGTGTGTGTGTGCGCGCGCGTGCACGCGCACGCGCACACACTAAAAAATACAACTGGGCAGATGATGAAAACATGGGATCTTCAGGAAAATGTAAGGTTTTCATTAAGGTGGACAGGAAGAAAAGGGAGGTGGATAGAAAGAAACATAACCTGGGCGTGGCTGCACAAGGTCAGAGTGCAGAACAGCACAGTAAACTGGACAAACCACATGAGGGCTACAGATACCGTCCAGAGGCAGCTTGAACAAAATTCGTAGAAAAGCTGAGTTGTTGTGTTGTTGGTGGTTTTGTTTGAGCCATGATTTCACAATGTAGCCCTGACTGATATCAAACTCTCATTAATCTTCCTGCTTTAGCCTCCTCAGGGCTATGACTACAGGTGGGCATAACCACCCTGCTCTCCAAATTATTTTTTAAGAACACCACACCCTCACCTGAGCTTCCCCCTGCTCTCTCAAACCCTAATGGCACAGAAATGTAAGCAGGACACTTACATTTACAGGGCTATACAGAGAAACCCTGTCTCAAAAGCAAACAAAAGAGAACCCTGAAAGGATAAGCTAACTGAATGCCTTCAAAGTATTATCGACTGGCAGACACGTGTATTTCTTTTTCAGAGTTCTGTTTTGTTTTTGGTTTGGTTTTTTTTTTTTTTTTTTTTCATATTTATTTATTATGTATGCCTGCAGGCCAGAAGAGGGCACCAGCTGGGGATTGAACTCAGGACCTCTGGAAAAGCAGCCAGTGCTCTTAACCCCTCAGCCATCTCTCTAGGCCCCTCTCAAAGTTGTTTATAGTTGCACTTGACTATGTAAGGCCCTGGAGCACTCACTCATTTCAGCTGGCTTGGCACGACTATTTTTGTGAAATACCAGAAGAGATTTTATAGGTATGTACCTAAAGTACTTCCTTTGGTAAGGAATTTAATCCCCTAAAAGAAATGTCAACTAATATCCATTAACTGTGTCATCAATTTATCCTGATACCCCAGTGGTTACAACTTCTTAACCTACTATTGCTAATAATGCCTCTTGTTTTTCATTGAGTGTACACTACACAAGAAATATAGTTTTATATTTATCCTGTGAGTATTGAAATAGTAAACATACTGTGAATATCTATCAATTCATGTATTAGATGAAAATGGAATAATGTTTTGAGGAAAAAATCCTCCACTCTTTCAATGGAATAAAAATTGTGACATGTTACCAAATAAATGAAAAGAAAGGAAAAACTAAAAAGGAGGTTATGGTTGGGTTTGTGACTGTGACTTTATGGTACAACACTTGCCTAGCATTCAGGAGGCCTGAACTCCATCCCTGATTCTATAAAAGGTGGGTGGCACAGATAGAAGTAAATAACTTTTCTGATGATATAACATTAAAAATAGGTCATGAGAGCCAAGTGGTGGCCCCTGCCTTTAATCCCAGCACTCTGGAGGCAAATGTAGGCAGATCTCTGTGAGTTCCAGGCCAGCCTGGTTTACAAAGTGAGTTCCTGGATAGCCAGGGCTACACAGAAAAACCCTGTCTGAAAAAAACAAACAAACAAAACAAAATTGGGCATGATAGCACCCCCTTTTCCTCCCATCATTCAGGAGGCAGAGTCAAATGGATCTTCATGAATTCCAGGCCAGCAGAGCTATACAGTGAGATCCTGTCTCAAAAAACAAAAAAGTTTAGTTTTTGTTAGCAAGAGGCAAAAGCACAAAATGTACTATACATATGTCAAGCATATGTCAAGCAAGAGTGGAGGGCTGAATAAGAAAAGCAGTTAAAGACTCAGCAAGAAGTGGGTCTAGGACAGCCTAGGACAGTACTGCACACCTGACCAAATGGTCCAGGTTGGTGGGGAAAACAAGCAATCATTATGAGGGAAAGGAGGTCTTTCTGAATATTTGGGTTTCTTGGACATTGGTTCCCTATGATGCTTACATACAAAGTTTTACACTTTCCTATAGTCTGCAAAATCCCACCTGAGTAAAAATCACCAGATAATTATAGAATCCCAGACACTGAAGAAAAAGTTGTCTTTAACAGGAAGTAGTTCACCTCCTGGGTTCAAAGATGGGCCAGGGTGCCAGGTGGGCAGTAATGGCCCATGTCTTTAATCCTAGCACTCAGGAGGCAAATCTCTGTGAGTTCAAGGCTAGCCTGGTCTACAGAGTGACTTCCAGGACACACAGGGATACACAAGGAAACCCTGTCTCAAAAAGGGAGGGGCAGGTAGGAACAAATTGGTAGAACTGGGTGTTTGAAGGGAACATCATTTCCAGCTGTAGTCCATGTTACCTTTTAGTTTATCTTTAATGACTTCTGACAGATGTTTTGTGAGATATGGCATATCATCTGGAGAATATTCAGCTTTTGCCAATTCTTCCTTGAGCACGGCATGGATGCAGTCTTTAACCACAGAGGGTCTAAACCTAAGGCAAACAATTTGAGAATATCTAAATGTCAGCTCAGAACCCGGACATGTTTTCACACTTCAGCCTTTGTGTTATCAGTAGCCCTAAAATACTGTATCTAGCTGGGAGGTGCTGGTGCATGCCCTTAGGTCCCAGCACTGGGGAGGCAGAAGCAGGCTGATCTCTGTGAGTTTGAGGTCAGCCTGGTCCACAGAGTGAGTTCCAGGAATGCCAGGGCTACACAGGGAAGCCCTGTCTCATAATAATAAACAAAGAAACAAATAAAATGCTGTATCTAGGGTCTAGGAATGTAGCTCAATGGTAACAAACTTGCTATTTACTTCTTTCCCTAAGCCCTTCTTTCTCTCTTACATTTACTTTGTCATATAGCACTATGTGGTGGAGTCCGCTCTTTCCTTCCACTACCTAGGTCTCCAGGACTGAATTCAGGTCATCAGGTTTGAAGTCAAGTGCCTTTGCCAGCTGAGCCATCTCACTGGTCTGCTTAAGCTTTTTCTCTTTTTATGATTTTATTTGTATGGACTCTTGCCTATGTATGCACAATGTAACAAACATTTGTTAAGCTGCCAAGTGGGTGCTGGGAACCAAACCTGGGTACTCTGGAGGAGCAGCAAATGCTCTTAATCACTCTCCAGCCCCTGCTTATGCTCCTTCCATCTTTCACAAAATGCTAAGCCTTTCTTCAGACAAGTCTCATATGAACTCATGGGACCGTTCGCATGTATTTATTACTAACCCCATTCTGCACTGCTTACAGGAGAAACATAGCTCAGTGCCGTTCTATACATTTAGGGCATTTGCGGAGGTAACTGAACATACCTTTTCCTGTATCCATGAGGAAACTGCAGCATGAAGTTGCTATACATATAGGACTACCTCTCTACCTCTATTTCTTTAAAAAGATGTATGCCGGTAGAGGCCAAAAACTGGAACTACAGTTACAGATGGTTGAAAGCTGCCATGTGGTGCTGGAAACTGAACCCCAGTTCTCTGGATGAGGATTTAGGGCCAGTGCTCTAAATCACGAAGACTATCTCCAGTCTCCACCTTGGCTTTTTAGGCAGGGTCTCTTACTGGGACTTGCAGGTGAGACCCAAAGTCTGTTTCTCCAATACTGTGATCACAACGAAACAACTCCATTAATAGGTGCAGGAATTGCATTCAGTGCAAGCACATGACAGACAGCTATCTCTACAGTCACCCACCAATCCACACTCCTCCCTGTCTCGCCTCGAATTAAAAAAAAAAAAAAAATCCTCTCTTGGGCTCAGACAGATGGCTTAGCTAGGTAGTAAAGGCCCTTGCAGCCAAGCCTGATGACTTGAGTTCAATCTCCAGAACCCACAAAATGGAGAACAGAACAAAACCAATTCCTAAAAAGTGCACAGCAGCATACGCACACTCCACACACGCAATCCTTTTTCTTTGGTAAGATGTTATTGATGTACGATTTTACAGACTTAAGCGACCGCCCTCTTCTAGCAACCTCCTGGGAAGTGGTCGATGTTATATGGGAGGGGCTTTGTATAGACTCTGCCCGAGTCTTATGCCAGAAGTGCACAGGTAAGCACGCGGTAACTCTTGGAGTACTGCTTTCACACTGCTTGTTTCCAACCTCTATTTTTCCTGTCCCCCGTGCGCATCTCCTAAAGGTCAACCACTCCCACGCACCAGTCTACGGCTCAAGGGAAGACCTGCCAATCCCGTTGCAGAGCTCAGCGATGGAAAAGTTGCCAAGTCGGAAGGCCAAAACCGTCCAGCCCCTCCCCTCTACGCGTCTCCTTGGCGACGCTCGTGCGCCTGAACCCCACTCCCGACCGACAGTGTCCCCTGTATCCCGTCCGCTACGCGCCTTTGCTGAAAAATGGGCCTCAGAATATAGGTGTTCTCGGGCTCCCCTGAGTTCTTGTCGGCCTCGTACAAGCCCTCGGCGCCGATGGATAAGCGAGTGGACGCGGCCATGATCTCTAGAGCGACACTCAGCCGGTTGCTGCTGCCCGCCCGGAGGTCCCACAGCGCGTCCCCAGGGCAACGGACTTCTCACGTGACATGCCACAGCCACGCCCCCTCAGCGCCTGCGCACTGCCTATACCAACTGGTGTCTAGCAGTCTAAGAGTAGTTAAGGACCTTAATACCGTCTCGGCCAGCAAGCTGCAGGACCAAACCCATCCTAACTTCCTTTTGTTTCCTCTGTTCCTGGTTTTTGAGGCAGGGTGCATGTAGCTCAGACTGGCCTCGAATTCGCTAGGCAGCCGAAAGTGCCCCTGAACTGCGTCCTCGACTTCCCCAGGTTTGGAATAAGGGGCTTGCACCACCGTGCTGAGTTTTATGGGTGCTGGAGCTAGAACTCTACTGGCTTACATCCATCCGTGCACAGTGCCCCTTCTGGTTTTTGGACAACTTGTGAGTCCAAAGCAGGATGCATATATAATTTTGTTTTATTTTGAGGCATTTTTTAATTTAAACTTTTTGTACACAGTATTCTTATCACAATTTCCCCCAATGCCAATTCCTCCCCACCTCCCTGACAGATCCAAAGGAAACTCTGATTCTCTAAACTCCAAAGGGCAGCCCAGAAATAAGCTCAAGCTGGACCACGGGAATTCTGGCTGTGAGATACTCAGGACTGGTGAAACCGGTTGCCTTACCTCCTGCAGGAAGGACAGTAGTCTACCCAGGCTCTTATCAGCCTATCAAAGTGTATACTGGCCTCCAGGCTTCCTCACAGATAGTTCTGGCCATGCCAGTCTCCTGGCCTGGCCATGTTCAGTCTACTTTCTTTCTGCCCTGGTCTCTTTCAAATGCCTCTGGCTGTCCCCTCATGTCTATAATAAAAACCTTAACCATGTCATACTGGCAATCTCTTTACTGTGTCCCCTTGAATACACTTCCCACCCCACCCCGCAACTCAGGCCCTTTCTCTAAAAAAAAAAAAAAGAAGAAGAAGAAGAGGAGGAGGAGGAGGAGAGAAAAGGAAGAAGAAGAGGAGGAGGGGGAGGAGGAGGAGAAGAAGCAGCCAAGCCTGAAGGCACATATCTTTACATTCAGGGAGCACAGGCAGATAGACCTTGGAGTTCATGGCCCACCTGTTTTAAAGAGGGAATGTAGGGTGAAAAGGGCCAAAAGAAAAACACCCTGTCCTGTGGTGGTGCACACCTTTAATGCCAGCACTCCGGAGGCAGAGGCAGGTGGATCTCTGTGAGCTCAAGACCAGCCTGGTCTACAAGAGCTAGTTCCAGGACAGGCTCCAAAGTCACAGAGAAACCTTGTCTCGAAAAAGCAAAACAAACAAACAAAAAACATCCTGTCCCTGATTTAACCCCAGAAACAGAGCTTAAAATCCCTGAGCTTGCCCCAGAGTCAGGCTATAGAATCCCACCAATCCCTGAGCCAGGGAAGCTCCCTCCCTAAGAAACTCTATGTAAACTCTGTGCCCTGTTCAGTTTGCTGCGGCCTCTCACTCTAGGGGCAGCCACCCTCCTGGATTTTCCCTTCCTATTCATCTCTTGGGTGAGGTTTGTTGTGCAGTGTGACACTTTCTGTGGAGTGGAACCCGACTAGAACAATTTCTGTAGGAGCCAGAGCAGAGAAGAACTGTAACACTTTCACCAGGGAAACTTTCCCTAGCAGACAGAGTTGTTAACATTTGGGGAACCTGTGGTGAACTGTAATAGTCCCAAGCAAGCTGTAACAACTTCCCTGGGGAAACCTCCCTTCCTCCAGAGCAGAGTTGTTACACTTGCATTAGTGAAACCCTTCCCTGGAGTAGAGCTCCCAACTGCCAGGATCCCTGTCCATCTGAGCTGCAATGCTTACAAGAAGTTCTGCATTTTCATTCAAGTTCCAGGACAGTCAGAACTACACAGAGAAACCCTATCTCAAAAGCAAACAAACAAAGAAACAACAACGACAAAAAAACCAAAAACCAAAACAAACAAAAAAGGAAAGAAGGAGGGAGAGAAGGAAGAAAGGCAGGCAAAATAAACACAAAAGAAGAAACCAAAATATAAAGCAAAAGAGCAATAAGATAAGCTATACCCAAAACAAAGCAAAATGAAGCAAAAAGTATACCCACATGGCGTCTGTAGGAACTGGAGCTTAAGTACCCTGTAGGCATGGTGTTGAGCAGCCCCAGGGAAGAAGCCACCCTTGGTGGACTTGGGGAGAGGAACAGGTTTGGAATGGGAAAGAGCAGGACTGAAGAAGAACTCCCAGTTGAACAACTGGACATCCCAACGTTTGAGGGAAATATATACACACACACAGACACACGCATGCATGCACGCACACGCACACATACATACATACATACATACATACATACATACATACATACATGAGCACCAGTTTGAGTCTGGCTACTTTCTGTTGGCATGGGATGATGTGGGGTGGGGGAGTTGGTAGTCAGTGGGCTCATGCTCCCTGGGAGGTGTGGGTGAAGAAGCATTTGGCTAACTGTCATCCTAGAGACCCCAGGAATCTGTTTCTTGAGGAAGTGGAGAAGGCAAGTTGCTAGGAGAAAAAATAGATTATCACTAGCCCTATGAATGGGGCTAGCCATGGGAAGCGGGAAGATGCCAGTAAGAATGGGATGGAGACGTTCCCTGGTTGTACAAAAAGGGAGAAGGGAGAATGAGTCAGATGACAAAGCAGCTATGCCCTTGCGTCTGGAGAGGTGGCTAGCACTGATGTCCCAGGAGCTTGCAGAGGGACTGCATACCCAATCGAGACATGATGTGTTCCAGAAGTACCTGAGCCATCACATCAGACCTTCAGCTGGCCTGAGTTTGCAGCGAAGGTCACCTCTCAGCAGCAAGCAGACATGTCTGGCAGGAGGGTGGGGAATGCAGGGTAGGGTAAAGAGGGTCTCTGGAGACTGATATTGGTTTCTACCAGGCCAGATTTCTTGATGCAGTAGCAGAGCTCTTTCCCCCAGGAACATGCAAGTACCTGTAAAACAGCTGTAACAGCTGTACATCTTGGTATCTTAGTTGAAGGGCTGTGGCTTTGGGTTAAAAGGCATGAACATTTTTCCTAGGGCCTGGTTTTCGCCGGATGAGACATACCTTTAAGTCCATCCTTAGAAGACAACCAGAGGAAATTTACTGAATGAAAGGTGTTGAGCCAGTGAAGGAGGAGGAGGGAGGAAGACTGAAAGGAGAAGGGCAGGAGGGACAGAGTCAAACATGCCTACAGACTTCCATAACCTCTTTAATGCTAACCTGTTTCGGGGCAGGGAGTCGGCAAGAATGAGCAGCCATGGATTGTTGAACTGGTAACAGCATCTTGCTTTTCAACAATGTTTCAGCAGAATTCTGCCACATGTGACGGGAAACAATACAGTAATGCTGAAAAGGCCTCTATGCAGTCCTGTTAGTGACATAAAGAATATAAAAGCTGGGAACAGTAAAATCCACAGAAATTTAAAACTCCATCTATCCATGCTTAAACTCTGAAGCCTGAAGCCCGTGAAAAAGGCAAACCTGTCTGTATTTTTAACAGGAAACTTAACTAATGAACTAATGAGCTACAAAGGTGGTTGTAACCTTGGTGAGGGAGCTGTTAAACTGGTAAATGTGTCAATACCCTAAATCATCAAACACCATCAGAGCCCAGAAGGATAAATCTCGATGAGTAAGCTGAAGTGAGACTGCTTTGCTGATACCTAGGACAGCTGTCCTGGGTTTCCCCATGACTAATGGGGACCGAGGTTCCAAGGCAGCATCATTCTGCAACTGCCAGGCCAAGAAGATGTGACAGACTTTCCTGTGGAGGAGGAATTTGGGGGGACTGGCCTACTTTGTCTTGACAAAGGGGGGGGCAATCAATTCCCCAGTGTCCTGCTGGTCCACAGTCTAGACAGGGTCTTAGCAGCAGTTAAGGTGCAAGGCAGTTTTACACTCCATGGCCTGCTTTGCTACATTTAAAGAGCGCTCCAGGAGGTTCTTCTATGGCCATCCATACAGGGTGTTGCCAGGAGCTGGCATGTCTCTATCATGAGAAGACTTTTTTTTTTTTTTTTTTAAATCAAAATGCCATATTCTCAGATCTCTGAAGCGTTTGAGGATTGGGGCATCATTACCTCTTAGGTATAAGCAGTTTAGTATCTCCAGAAGGCAAAACCCAGTTTTCACAGTGTAAACAATTTAGGGCTTTTAAAATTACTCTTACATGACAAAATCTGGCTGCCAGCAATGGAGGTGCACCTTTGATATTTCAGAAAACCAACATTGTTTTAAACCTTATCTTTAATAAGCCTTGTTTTTAGGACAGGACTGGAATTATCATACAAAAACCCATCCTAATCGAAAGCATCTTGGAGACCTGTTATAAGATAGCGGTGACGTCACATGACCTCCCCCTTTCCAATCCTAGTCAGTTATAATTTGGAGTTACCAGTTTTAAGTTAATTTTTGTTACAGATTTTTAACCATACCCAATTTCTTAGTGCTTTGTTTCTTTAATAAGGTAGAATAGCATAAAATTTCTCTGTCATTACATCAGATTCAGGGCCAGAAAAGTCCAGAGGCAACTAGTTGTTACCAAGACACGCAGAACACATAAACTCAGACATCCAAGATCAGTCAGAAAAAAGCATGTGGCTAGATACATTTACACATTTCCATCCATATAAACAAAATAGATGGAACAGAAAGACAGACAAAACGTTTTGAAGGAAACTGTGTCAGATGATCAACTTGAAAATCCTAAAATAAGAGTTTACAGTATAAGAAACCGTAGGAATAACAGATTTTTTAGGAGTGAGGAAGTTGAGTTTAAAAATGAGCTGCAGGACTGCAAGTGGAAACTGAGAGATAGCATAGTAGGTCTGCAGTCTGATGGCAAGGTGAGAGAAAGCCAGGAAGGAGAAGAAGATAAGGAGGTGTCCACATGGGTCTGCAGGCTGCAAGGGCCAGAGCCACATGGAAAATACAGCCAGCTGGAGCTTAAACAGTAGGTC